CCCGAGCCTCTGTCCCGCCGTGAGCCCGCGGCCCTCCGCCGCACTTCCGGGAACCCCCACTTCCGGGGGGGCCCCCAGGGGCTGCCGGTGTCACGCCGCTCCGACCCGTCCCGCCTGAGGCCCCTCCCCGCGGCACCCGAGCCGGGGCCTTGGTGACCTGGGGGCCAGAGCGGTGGCGAGAAGCCGGGCTTCCCTTGCGAGCAGCGGCGGTCGGCACCGGACGAGCAGGCGGCGTCGGGCACCGGGGACGGACACGCAGCTGGCCCGTCCCAGGAGCCCGGCCGGGGAGGCAGTGGCCTTCCAGCAGCCGAGCCTCCGCCCCGCGGCCGGCGGGGCCCCTTGACCGTGGCTGTCCTGGGGGGCGTTTCCCTGAGCGGTGTGCCCCGCGCGCCCCGGAGCCCTCTGCGTCCCGCGAGCCCCGTGTGCCCTGTGAACCCCCGGAGCCCTCTGCACCCCGTGCGCCCCGCGAGCCCCGCGCGCCCTGGAGCTCTCTGTGCCCCGTGAGCCCCCTGTGCCCCACGCGCCCCGTGCGCCCTGTGAGCCCCCTGTGCCCCGGAGCCCTGTGTGCCCCGTGCGCCCCGGCTTCTCGCAGCAGCATCAGGAGTGACCACCTTTCGGCCGGAGGGAAGCGGCCTGAGCTGGGAGGCGGCAGCACAGGGTTGGGAGGTTGACCGAGGGTCCTGCCACCCTGAGCGGCCATCTGGTCCATCCGGGCAGAGGGCTGGAGGCGGGAAGCGAAGCCCGCGTTGAAACCCTGAGGCAGCGGCTGTGGCGGCCCTCTCCCCGTCCTAGCGCGTGGGAGGCAGAGGCAAGAGGTTCACAAGTTGGAGGCTGGCTCAACCAGTGAGGCCCCAACCTAAACGAAAAGGGGGTTCAGGAGGGGAGGTAGCTCGGGCTGGCGAGCTGCGTGCTCTCGGTGTGCGACCTTCCCGGCGACGGGAGTTGGCCACTCACCTGCCCTCGGCGTTACCGTCTACAGCCAGGGTCCCCCCACCCCCACCCCATGGGCCCCGATGGGGAGCAGAAACATTGCCAGTGAACAAACATTTCCCGAGGTTGCGCGAGCCTCCTGGGGAGCAGCTCCGGCCTCCGCGCTCCTTCCTGAGCCCTGGCACCCTGATATGCCCCCTGCCTGGCCAGGGCCGGTGCGGGCGCTGACGGCCGCTCTCGCTCTCGGCAGCAACTGAAGCAGCAGCGTGACAAGCTTCGGCAGTACCAGAAGAGGGTCACGCAGCAGCTGGAGAGGGAGCGGGCCCTGGCGCGGCAGCTGCTGCGGGATGGCCGGAAGGAGTGAGTGGGGCAGGGACGCGGGCCTCCCGGGGTGGGCCGTCCCCGGAGGGCACCCTGTCACCTCCGGCCTCCCCTGCAGACGGGCCAAGCTGCTGCTCAAGAAGAAGCGGTACCGGGAGCAGCTCCTGGACCGAGCGGAGAACCAGATCAGCAGCCTGGAGGCCATGGTAGGCAGGCCGGGCCTCAGCCAGGAGCCCCGAGCCTCCAGGGGTCGGGCAGGTTGGCTCTGGAAGGAGGGAGGGCCAAGGACTGGCGGCCTCTGGGTCATGGGGGCAGGTCAGAGGCCAGCATCCCTGGGGCTGGGCCCCCTGCCCGCTGGTTCACGCTGCTGTGTCTGCCGGCAGCCCCTCAGCCCTCCAGCCCCCGAGGGTGGCGGGCAGGGGTGCCAGCGGCCCTCAGCAAGATGCCCGGCCCTCTGCCCTGCGGCAGGCAAGGACCGCAGCCCCGCCCCTCCCCTCAGGTGCAGAGCATCGAGTTCACGCAGATCGAGATGAAGGTGATGGAGGGCCTGCAGGTGGGGAACGAGTGTCTCAACAAGATGCACCAGGTGGGTCCCGCCAGCACTGGGCACCTTCCGCAGCGGGCCGGCGGGCACGGCGTCATGCGCGTGCGCGGCCCAAGGTGCCCGCCAGGAGCTCGCACCAGACATGGGGCGTGCATTTGGCCCAGCCCAGGAGACGGCTCAGGGATGGAAAGGCACGGCTGCGGCAGCGAGAGGTGTGTGGGTGGAGGAGGGTGAAGCCCACGCCCCTGAGCTGGCCAGGGTGCCGGGGTGGGGGGGGCTGCGTGGGCACTCGAGAATGGCGGCGCCGTGTGAAACCCGGAGCCGAGGAAGCTCTCCACTGCTGCTGTGTCTGCGCGTGGCTGTCAGGGTTGTCTTGGGCATGGGAGGTCTGGCGGCCAGCACCCGAGCGGGAGACACGCGCTGTGTCTTGTGCCTGGCCGTCCCTGAGGCAGGAAGGGCCGGGCCGCGCAGTCCTGTCGAGGAGCCTGGCCTTTGACTCACGGCTTCCACGCCTCATCCTCGCAGGTGATGTCCATAGAGGAAGTGGAGAGGATCCTGGACGAGACCCAGGAGGCTGTGGAGTACCAGCGGGTAGGTATCGCTGCGGCAGGCCCCCCCACCTGCCAGCCCGCACCGCCGGTATGGCTGCCCCCTCCCTGGGCCCGGCGTGACAGGCCTTCCCCCGGCTCCTCTCTGCAGCAAATCGATGAGCTGCTGGCGGGGAGCTTCACGCAGGAGGACGAGGACGCCATCCTGGAGGAGCTGGACGCCATCACTCAGGTACTGCGCCCCGGGCCGGACACAGCGCAGTCACAGTGCCAGACCTCCCGGCCGGCCTCCGCCTGCACTGTGTCCACACGTTTTACTCCAGCCCAGAGTCTTGCTTTTGCACTTGAGGACCTCCCTAGAGTGACTTGGCCCCGGGCTGGCAGCTAGAGCAGCCAGGGGAGGCGCAGGTGTGGGCGCCCTCCCCCGTCCCGGGGCCTGGCAGCCGTGGGGCCTGTGTCTGCTCACCCACTACCCAGCTTTCCTGCTTTGCCCGCCAGCCCTGGGCTTCCTTGCCTCCCTCCCTGGTGTTTTCTGTCTCTGGCGCACGTCAGGCCTCTGCGCTGCCCCCACGGCCCGCCGCCAGCTCAGCATGAGCCCCGGAGCCACCTGAGGACCCAGGCCTGTGGGCCTGGCGGGGAACGGTGCTTTGAGGTGTGTGACCTCCGGTCTGTGCGGCCCAGGAGCCCGCAGGCAGGCAGGCAGGCCGGCCGGGAGACGAGGGGCGCAGGGTGGCAGAGGCCCCCCCCCTCCCGCTGCCGTGGCATGTGGCCTGGAGTCTCTGCTGGCCGGGCTGGAGCAGGAGGACTGCCCCCTGCACCGGGGAGCAGGCTGGGGAGGAGGCGGGGCTGGCCTTACTGCCTTCCTTTTGCTTCTTGCAGGAACAAATAGAGCTGCCGGACGTTCCCTCGGAGCCCCTTCCAGAAATAAAACCAGGTACCTCGGGGCCACATCTTTTTGAGCGTTGGGGCCACACAAGCTTCCTGGATGGGGAGGATCAGGCCCGAAGGCTCCGGGGTGGGTTGGGCCATGGCCTTACTGCAGCGTTCACACCTCGCCGGGCCCAGCCTAGGGTCACATGGTGAGAGCCGAGCTGCTCACAACACGCGGCTCACCAGGGCTGAGCCAGGGTCTGCCCGCTCCACACTCTAACGGGGGCCCTGCCAGGCCAGGACTGGACCCCACTGCCGGCCTCTGCCGCGGGCCTCCGCCCGGCCTCCATTCCCTCACCATAATTTCCATGCTTGCTCCTGGAGCTCTGCCCCCAGCATGGGCGCGTGGGGGGCGCGGCAGGGGCCTTGTGTATCACACTGTTCTCCTTCCTCCACAGAGAAAGTGTCTGTCCGAGCCAAGTCCAAGCAGCCAGAACTGGTGGCCGCCTCATAACGGGACTCTCCGCTGCACTCGCAGGGTTTGAGGCCTGCCCACCGGGCCTTGGCCGCGTGCTGGCCCTGAGGGCTCGGGAGGCCGCCCGGGCGGGCTGCTGCGGGCAGCGACAGGTCCAGACCGCTCCGTGGCGGTCCGTCCCTCGGCCTCCACGGCCCAGTGGCCCCGCCCCGCGCTCCGGGCCCAGCCCGCAGGGTTCACACGTGGCTTATGCTCTTCTGTGGGGAAGGATGCCCTGGGGCCTGGGCCTTCGCTTCCTCTGCGGTCTTTGCTGCTCACAGAGCTGGCGGGCGAAGGCGCCCACCTTCCTCGGTGTCCTGACGTCCCCCGCGTCCCCGCAGGCTGGACACGGAGGTGCGGAGAGCGTTTCCCGCGCTTCCCGGGCTCTCGGCCCCCGCCTCCCAAGGCCGACCCTGCCACATGCAGGACTCAGGAGCCGTTTCCTCCTCCCGCGCACTCGCGCCACCCAGAGGAAGGATGGCCCATGCGCGGTGCGGGACCACGCTCCTGAAGCCCCCGAGCCCCGCGGCGACTGCTGGGCCCCGGCCAGGACAGTGGCCAGCGCCTGGACAGTGGCCAGCGCCTGGACGGGCCTCCTCCGGCTGGCCCTCACAGGCCTGTGAGCAGCAGAGGCTCCCAGGCCTCACGCACTTTTGGGGGCCTGCCAGAAGCAGGGCACCCCTTCCCCCACCCCACGCAGGCCGGCCCCTGTATTAAAGTTGGCCCTGCACGGTCTGCTGCCTCACCGATGGCGCCTCAGCACGGGGGGGGGGGGAGGGCGGGGGGCTGCCCTGCTGAGACAGGGCCCTGGGCCGCCACATGGGGGGGGGGAGGCCAGGCTCAGGCACCACACCTGGGAGGGGTGTAGCTGCGGCCCCCCGCGGCCCTGGGCCCCGCAGGTCACCTGTGCCCACACCTGTGCCATCCTAATTCACGCAGAACGGGTGGCTGGCAGGCAGGGCCGCAAAGTGCCAGGGCTGAGTGTGGCTCATGCCAGGGGGCATGGGGCACTGCCGGCCTCCAGGAGCTGGGACATCCTCGTGCACATGCAGCAGCCACTGAGAGCTTAGCATCAGGTTCTCCCCCCGCCTCCCCCCCCCCCGCCAGGCCTGGACCTGGTGGAGGCGGCCAGTTAGGAGCTGTTCCCCAGAGAGAGGGGCTCAGCCCCAAGCAAGGCACCCCCATCGTGTCCGACCCTAGCCAGATGGGGCTACAAGCCGAGAAGGGAGGCACCCTCACCCGGGACATGGGTGAGCCATGGGACAGCCGTGTCCCCAACCGAGCGGCTCTGCCCTGGCGCCCCAGAGCCGGGCATGGGGCCCGGCCTTTCCTACCTGTCAGCAGTGCCCGGTGCTGTCCCGAGCTCGGCCTGGGTCCTTGTGCCCTGGTGGACAAGGGCCTGGCGTGGTCCCCGCGGCTCACATCCAGCGCAGCCCAGTCCTGCCAGGGTGGGGTGGGGCTGCAGGGCGGTGCTCATGGGGGGCACTGCTCAGGGTGACAGCCACTCGGACGGCCGGGGGAGCCTCGCAGCGCCTGGGCAGGCCGGTGAGTGGGAGCGTGGCCGCAGCAGTGTGGTGGGGTGCCTGGCCCTGTGCATGTGCCCCGGCACAGAACGGGTGCTGGGGCACGCTGCGGTGTTCGGGGCTGGGCAAGAGTGGCCAAACCCCAGGGGCACTCTGCCTGGCCGTCTGCCAGCCACACGGCCAGGCTGTTCAGGGGCATTGGCCAGCACAGGCCCACGCTGACCGAGTCACTCGAGGGCTGCTCAGGCCCCAGGGTGGTCACCACTGGCTCCGCCCCTGGCAGGGCTGCGACCCCAACACCCGTGCTGCCCCGGTGCTCACCTGGACACAAGCCTGGCCCACAGCGCAGGACAAGTTTGCCTCAGCCCCGGAAGGGCTTCTAGGAGGGGTGGGGGCCCCAGCCAGCCGGCCCCCAGGAAAGGGTGCTGTCATGGCTACCTGGGGCTTCCAGGACACAGCAGCCCTGGTGTGGGTCTGGGTAGCACTGGGGGACCCCAAACCCTGCCACACCCCTTGTGCCCTTCAAGTCTCCCCCGACTGGAGGACAAGGTCTGCGTTCCCTGCCGTCCCCCTCAGCCCTCCATCCTGAGGACCTGAGACACCCGTGGTGTCCATGGAGGACAGGGCCGCGTGCTGGGTGCCGGCGCGTCGTCCAGTGCCCTGTCACACCTGGGAGCCCGGGGACGCCCCCTCGCCGCGCCCGAGCCGGGCTCCAGTGCTTGCTGACAGCGGCCGCGGGGCAGGCCCTGGGCAGTGGCGCGCGCAGTGCCAGAGCCAGCCTCAGGCCTCTGCATGGTTCTTGCTGAGTGAGGGGCTTGTGCTTGCAGGCACTGTCCTGCTGAAGCCACATCTCCAGCCGTTTTTGTGCTCTATTCTTCCAGCTGGTGTCTGCCCAGGCCTGGCCATCCAGACGCCCCCAGTGGGGAGTGGGCGTGAGCCGCCGTGGCCCGCTTGTCTTTGAGAGGAGAACTCTACCTTTTTTCTTTTCTTTTCTGGTCATAGGCCTGAACTCTGGGCCTGGGCGCTGTCGCTCAGCTCTCCAGCTCAAGGCTAACGCCCTACCACTTGAGCCACAGCGCTACTTCTGGCTTTTTCTGCTTATGTGGTGCTGAAGAACCGAATGCAGGGCCTCATTCATGGGAGGCCAGCTACCACAGAGCTACCTTCCCAGCCCAAGAACTCTGGCTTTGTTCCAGGCTGGCCTTGAACTGCAATCCTGGTCTCTGCTCCTGAGTAGCTAGGACCACAGGTGTGTGTCCCTGTGACCAGCGAGTTCAGAACCCTCGCCGTCTCAGGAAGCCCTACGCCTCTCCAGCCACGTTCCCCATCCCACGCCCTTCCAGCCCCCAGCAATGCTCAGGGCTCACGGACGTGTTCCGTCCCCAGACTTGATGTGTGGTCCAATCTACCAGTGCTGCTAATGGCCCAATCACACTCCTGTGCGCACCATGTGTGTGTACATTCACCAGCCTGGCGGGCATGGGTGTTTCCCATCTGGTTACTATGGAGGATGCTGACATAGACGTATGCATGAGTCTGGAGGAAAGCGTGAACATGTGCACAGGACTGGAGGTGAGTGTAGCCGTGTGGACTTGACAGGTGGATATGTGGATGTGGACATGAGGGCATGGTTGGAGGTGGATGCGGGTGTGCGGATGTGTGGACTCAGGTGGATGTGGTGGACGTGGATGTGGATATGTGAACGTGGACATGAGGGCGTGGTTGGAGGTGGATGCGGGTGTGCGGATGTGTGGACTCAGGTGGACATGGTGGACATGGATGTGGATATGTGAACGTGGACATGAGGGCGTGGTTGGAGGTGGATGCGGGTGTGCGGATGTGTGGACTCAGGTGGACATGGTGGACATGGATGTGGATATGTGAACGTGGACATGAGGGCGTGGTTGGAGGTGGATACGGGTGTGCGGATGTGTGGACTCAGGTGGACGTGGTGGACGTGGATGTGGATATGTGGACGTGGACATGGTCGGAGGTGGACACGCATTTCCACTTCTCTGTCTACACAGAACAATTGCTCGGTCATCTGGAGTGTATTTTCCTCATGCGAGGTGGAAGTTCTGTCGCTTCCCGTCCCCACGTCCCGCTCAGCACGTCACGTCTCTTGTGCCATGTGGTAGCTGCAGTGTGGCTCTCATTGTCGGGTTAGGTTTGGTATTCTTCTTTGAGATGGGGTCTCATGCAGGTCAGGCTGACATTGAACTTAGGACCCTGGAGCCTCGGCCCCTGGGTGTGGGGATTGCAGTTGTGTCCACGCCCAGCCTAGCAAGGTGGGGCTTCGCTTTTCCCATGGGACTAGAGATTTAACCCAACGCTCCACACGTGGGGGACCTCTGCTGCCTGAGCCGCCCGCTCAGCCCTTTTCGATTTTGAGGCGCAGCCTCTCTGCCTTTTGCGGGCCCTGCCTGCCTCTGAGCGCAGCTCCGTGGCTCTCCCCCCTCTGGAAGCAGCGAGGCAAGCCTGCCTGCCTGCGTGTTTTGGGCAGTGGTGCAGCTTCCCAGAGCGAGGTCTGTTTAGAATCTTTGCCTGTTCAGCTGTCTCCTCATTGTTGGCTCGGTGGGAGTCTGCAGATTTCTGGCTATTAGGACTTTGTCAGATAGGTGATTTGCAATGTTTTCATTTTTATTAATTCTGTGGTTTGAACCCAGAGCTTGTGCTTGCTTAGAATCATTCTACCATTTGAGCTACACTCCTAATTCTTTGACTTCTATTTTGGATTTGCAGGAGAATCTTGATGGTTCTGCCCAGGGTGGCCTCTCTCACAGTCGGAGTGGCTGGGGTGATAGGCATGTGCTAGCATAATCAGCTGTGAAAGTGCTTACAGGATGGGTACAGTGGCTTACACCTGTCATTTCAGCTACGTGAGAGGTGAAGATAGAAGGATCAAGGTTTGAGGGCAGTCCAGGCAAAAATGTCCGACCCTCTCTGAAAAATAAAACATAATGGGCTAGGGTGCATGGCTCAAGTAGTAGAACACCTGCATCACTGGTGTCAGGGGTCAGTACTATCAAGAAAGACACACAGAGTTCTACAGTCTTACATCTCTGGTCCATTTTAACTTTGAATACGGTGGGAGGCTGGTGGGTCTGGCTTACTTTTTTTTTTTTTTTTGTCAGTCGTAGGACCTGAACTCTGGGCCTGGGCGCTGTCCCTCAGCTCTTCAGCTCAAGGCTAGTGCTCTACCACTTGAGCCACAACGCCACTTCCAGTTTTCTGGTGGTTTACTGGAGATAAGAGTTTCATGGACTTGGGCTGGGAAGGTGGCTCAGTGGTAGAGCACTTGCCTTGCATGCCTGAGGCCTTGGGTTCGATTCCTCAGCACCATATAAGCAAGAAGAAAAAAAAACGGAAGTGGCGCTGTGACTCAAGTGGTAGAGTGCTCGCCTTGAGCTGAAGAGCTGAGGGACAGCGCCCTGGCCCCGAGTTCAGGCCCCACGATTGCCCCCCCAAAAAAAAAAAAGAGTTTCATGGACTTTCCTGCCCAGGCTGGCTTTGAACTGTGATCCTCAGATCTCAGCCTCCTGAGTAGCTAGGATGACAGGCATGAGCCACTGGTGCCAGGTTTACTTAATTCTTTTGTGTATCTATACCCTGCTGTCTCATTTATTAAAAATATAATTCTCAGGCTGGGAAGGTGGGCCAGTGGTAGAGTGCTTGCCTTGCCTGCATGAGGCCCTGGGTTTGATTCCTCAGCACCACTTAAGCAGAAAAAGCCAGGAGTGACGCTGTGGCTCAAGTGGTAGGCCAGCGCCCAGGCCCAGAGTTCAGGCCCCATGACCAACCAAAAAATAAAAAAAGAAAGAAAAATAGCTCAGTCTGCCGGAGCACTGGTGGCTCATGCCTGTCATCCTAGCTATTTAGGAGGCTGAGATCTGAGGATCACG